CATGGCAGCCTTGGGGCCGGCTAGAGGCTTGGCTCGAGCGCGGCGGCTCCGACAACGTTGGGTACCGTTTCGAGCTCCAGAACTCGACTCTCGCGAACTCCACCCTCGGCGCAAAAAATGGCGGGAAGTTCTCGATCGACCTGACCTCGAGCCTGACTCCGGCGAACAGCCCCCACAGTAGCTTCGACTTAGGGTCGGGGTCGTCGTCCAGACCGGGATCCGGATCCGGATCAGACTTCGGGTTCGGGCTGCTTCCCAGCCTGGTACAGAGAGGGTTTGTGATGTCCTCTACGGTGGAGGGTGTCGGGAAGTGTAGCAAGCCGGAGGTGGAGGTCGGGGTACAGCACGTGACCTGCACGGAAGATGCGGCCGCTTATGTGGCATTGGCGGCGGCAATGGATCTGAGCATGGATGCTTGCCGGCCGTTTTCTCAGAAACTCCGGAAGGAGCTGAGGCAGCAGTAGATTCGCTGGGGGGTGGTTGTCGTTTAGAGGGAAGGCATTGTCGTTTCGGATTCGGCTAGGCATCGGATTCTTTTTTTCTTGGTGATTAACTGCCAACACAGCATTATTTTTTCGGCTGCCGTTTTTCAAATTTTTAAATTTTTAAATTTTGTTGGATGAGAGTGTACAGTGAAGAATGAGTAGGCAGGATTTAAATTTTTAGATTAATTATTTATTTTTCTTGTAATTTTTGTGAATTGATTGGGCTATTTGGTTAATACATGATTGAGTGTTTGTTTGAGAAGAATCCAATGTTTGATGGGAAATTTATAAAATTATTTTTGATGGGAAATTAAATCCAGGCTGTCCAGAGTGGATGTATTCGGTGTAATGATAAGGATTAATAACTGGTTGATTGATTATTTGATTAAATACTTGGACGTGTGTGTAATTGTAACCCTAATTATATAATTTTTTGGTAGGCAATTACGTTTTTTCTTTTTTTTATAGAAAGTTTTGCTTTTGTGAAAGTTAGACACGTTAATGCAACTGATAAAAAGCATAACTCCAAATGAATAAATAAACATCGGTTTTATCAGTCTCATAGAGTAATGTATAATTGTTGTCTTGTTGCAATTTCAGCCTCTGTAAAACAAGAGAATTGTCAAGCTTTGGTTGTTACGATTTTGGATACCATTGAGGAAATATTTAGAATGGTCAGTATTTTTTTATTTATTTAGATACAAACTATGAAAAAAAAAAAGGGAATTCGAACTTGAAGCATATATATGGCGCGTTTACGTAAGGGTAATCAGAATCAAGAAACGGAATTAAATTCCGATTACGGTATACTCCGGTGTTTACTAAATCTTGAGGAATCAAAATTTAATGGGTCTCACACAAATTTTGGAATCCAATTCCAATATTTGGCTGATTTGGATTCCTAAGATAAAAGAGGTATTTGGATTCCGGATGGTTTGGGGAATCAGAATGCTAACTTTTTTCCCTTTATGCCCACACTTACTTTCATTATTTCCAAGATTATCTTTTAACCCTAGAATGTTATTTCCCTTTTTACGCAGCTCCTTTCTCTTTTCTCTCAGACGCACGCCTTTCTCTCCTCTTAGTTGCAGCTCATTTCATTATTTTCAACAAGTAAATCCCTACTTCTTCTGCGTTTTTATCTCTATGTTGAATTTTTTTGGTTTGAACGACACGGGTAAATGAGTTTGTGGACGAAGACTCTGACCTCTCATAGAAAATAAATGAAATATTTTCCATTAATTGTGTTTCATCGCATCCTGCTGAATATTTCATTGCTTCCTTCACTTCACTTCACTTCACTTGTTAGAGAGAGAGAGAGAGAGAGAGAGAGCGAGCCTGAGTTGATTCCTGCCCACTTACGAATTACAATAAGTTGGAAACTTTGTTATTAGATTTTGGATTTGTGTATTGGGTCTGATTTGTTTTGATGTTTTTTGTTTTGTATCTGTATTGGGGGGAGTGATTAGTTGCTGAGAAAATGTGGGAAAAGGGTGGATTGAAGTAGATTGACATCTGTTGTTCTGCTGCATATTGTACATTTATGTATTTTACTTGAATTATTTGGTTGTTGGGAACTTATTGAGCTGAATGTTGATTTAGAGTTGTTTATTTGCATAATGGATCTCTTTTTTCAAAGTTAGGTGCATAAAGAATCAAAGATGCAAAATTTTCGTTTTACTTGCCTTTTGGATTTGTTTGACCTTATGCTTAGATCAGGGACATTTGAGATTTCTGTGTTTGATGATCTTTTGAATTGGGTTATGCAATTTGTTGATCCTATTGGGTTTAAATTCTTAAGAAAATCTAAATGGCTAACAAGAATGTTAGATAAGAAGAGAAATGTAAGGGACTTACAAAGGCACAACGTGTAGAACAGCATGTGTTGCAGCATGCAGTCCAGCACGGAAGTTCTTTTGCCTCCACTGCTTCTTTTATCCAATGTGGAACTAGAATCCACACTGCCTGTTTTGATGAGATGATGAAGCATTTTATATATACAAAAGAACCAAACAAACAATTCAAGGTTAAAAAACACCAAACAACAGAACCATTGACAAAGTTAAAAAGTACTCAGGTTTACTTGTGACTCATAAGTATATTCCGGAAGTTTAAGTTCAACTAATTCAAGTACCTCGTGCGTTGCTTTACATATACTAAAGTATCCAAACCATCTGGTTGTTACTTTGCAAGAATCTGTTCGGGCAGTTGTTCTGGAAACCTTAGGTGGATGAGCCTACAACACCAGGACATGTAGCAGGTGAGCATTTAGAAATCATCATAAGCATGATGAAATGACATGGAGAGGAGTATGAGACATAAACAAAAACAAAAATCTAAGTTAAGGAATTGAAAAATTGTAGAGATACCTATTTCAAATGCTTTGAACAGCAGCCAAAGCTGAATGATGGCCTCCTCATTGTATGGGGGAGAGATACGGGCAATCTAGAAATGGTGTACTATTGAATACTTAGATATCAGATGTATGAGCCTACTCCAAATATCTAACAATAATCCTGTATAATATAAAACTTCTCTGTTCCTATATTATATCCAAATTTTGAGATACAAGACCATGCATTTCCAATCACCAGATTGACTCATGCAATTTTTGGAAAGGCATTCAGGAACAAAGAACAAATATTAAGAGTTGACATACCATATTACCGTCCATGATATGAACTCTTGTGCAATCACGAGGTTTTGTGTAATAATCCAAATTAGCTGCTTTGCATATAGCTTCCTTACTCCACGTATCTAAGTTTGAAAATGTGGGAAAGGGGTGGATTGAAGTAGTTTGACATCTGTTGTTCTGCTGCATATTCTACATTTATGTAATTTACTTGAATTATTTGGTTGTTGGGAGGGGTGGGTTCGGTTTAAATCGGTTCGGTTTTTTGCCAAAACCGAAACCAAACCGAAATTTCGGTTTGGTTCGGTTCGGTTCAATTTTTTTCGGTTCGGTTTTTTCCGGTTCGGTTTCGGTTTTTTGTTTTTATTTTTTTTCAAAAAATGAAAAACATTGAAATTTTAAATTTTAACATATCCAACACAATCATAACATAAACATTCTAACTAGAATCAAAGACAATGAAAATAAACATTTAAAGTTGAACTAAAATCATCAATCAAGTCTTTCAAAGTCCAAACTAACAACCTCACAACACAAAAATCACACAAAAATCGTACAAATGACTTAGAAAAGTTAAATTGTATGATGTTGTTCAAAGATCAGTGTTGTTTGCTTGTAACTGCATGTTGACAACTTGATTAGTAAAGGTAATGCGTGGGTGGATTTATTTAGTGTGTGTTGGATTCTTTTCCATCACAAATTCCCCAAGTAATCTACCCGAAATAAATGTTTATGGATTATGTTACATGTTATATGAGAGTAGATTTGGAAAAGAAAGCTGGCGCAGAAGTAGACAGTGCTATGGAGATGGATGTAGGTACTTCGGGAAGAGGTTTGGTTCCGGAACCTTATATGGGGGAGAAATAATAGGTTAGGGTTTAGAGTTTTTATAGGTATTTTTTTAATATTTTGAGCTTAAAGTTTGGCAACACATTGGGTTATTACATTTTAACTTACAAATTGGGTTTAGAAAATAATACCCAAAACAAATAATTAAATAAAAAAATTAATTTAATTAATTCGGTTCGGTTCGGTTCGGTTCGGTTCGGTTTCTAGATCACTAAAACCGAACCAAACCAAAAGAATTCGGTTCGGTTCAGTTTTTTCAATTCGGTTCGGTTTTTTCGTTCGGTTCAGTTTTTTCGGTTTCGGTTCGGTTTGGTTTTCGATTTTTTTCGGTTTTCGGTTTTTTGAACCCACCCCTAGTTGGGAACTTATTGAGTACCTGTGATCTTTGAAATGTTGTATTGTTTAGGAAGAGTACTTTATCCCTAATTCTTTATGCTCACAAATGTTTATTAATCAAATATTCATGAAATTAGGAAGAGTGAGGACAAGGTTGTGGGTTGAGCTCTCTTCACTGGTTGCAGGCATACTATAATTTATGTTGTTATTTATCCATTAATTGTGAGACTAGGTATGGAGGAAAAAAAATATAAATTTTTGTGATTGATTGTATTCTGTAATGTTAATTTATTTTAGTTTGCCGATATGTTTATTAACTTGTTAATTGAAGTCCTTCATGACATTTTTTTTTTCATTATTTTGTGTAGACTAATGGCTCGTCAAGTTTGTCCACAAAGAAGAAATTACAAGCTGTGTTGAATGTGTTGATTATCTATCTTCGAACTATATTTGTTGCATGTGCTACCTCTTGTTTCTATTCTTGGTATCGTTTCCAAAAGCGCCTTAGAAGTCCCTCACCTTCTCAAACAGTTATAAGAGTTTACAAGCAATTAGAATACTTACATGGTTTAATTTATGAGAGTGATGTGACATGTATTTCTGAACTACGAATGGATAGACAATCCTTTAATAGATTATGTCAAGTTCTTGTGACTAGAGGGCAAGTACGAGCTACTCGAAATGTGTCTATACAGGAGATGGTTGCATTTTTTCTATACATTCTTGCATACCATCTTAAGAATCGCACAATTAACCACCACTTTAGAAGGTCTGGTCGAACAATTAGCAAGTATTTCCATGAGTGTCTTAAAGCACTGATTCGATGCCAAAAGGATTTCTGGCAAACACTTGAGCCTATCCCTGAGAACTCAACCGACCCAAAGTGGAAATGGTTTAAGGTATGTAGTATCTACATGCCAACACTACTCAGTAATTACTAGTTTTTTATTTCATAGTTTAGTTTGTAATTGAGTGGCCTATATACTGTAGAATTGCTTAGGTGCACTAGATGGAACACCGGTTAAGGTGCATGTACCAGAATGTGATAAACCAAAGTACAGAACAAGGAAAAATGAAATAGCAACGAATGTTTTGGGAGTTTGCACTCCGGACATGCAGTTTATATATGTTTTACCCGGATGGGAAGGGTCCACACATGATGGTCGAGTTCTTAGAGATGCTGTGACTAGGAGAAATGGATTGAAAGTCCCTAATGGTAACACTCATAACTTTTTCTAGTAATTAAAATTCTTAGCTTTTGAATTGCAAGTGATATAGAGTTGTAAGTTTGACAATTTAATTCTTTGTCAACAATAGGTTGTTACTATTTAGTTGATGGTGGCTATACAAATGGAAAAGGTTTTCTTGCACCTTATAGACGAACCCGTTATCATATGAATGAGTGGAATGATGGTTATCGTCCTACAACATCGGTTGAGTTTTTTAATATGAAACACTCAAGTGCCGGAATGTCATTGAAAGGTGTTTTGGGCTATTGAAAATGCGTTGGGGAATTCTTAGGAGCCCATCCTTTTACGACATTAGGACACATCGTCGCATAATTTCAGTGTGTTGTATGCTCCATAATTTTATAAGGAGGGAGATGGTTGTAGATCCTATAGAAGCTGATTCGGACGGACAATTTCAAGATGGGAATTCAGATACGAATAACTATATTATCACTGTTGAGTCCTTGGATGAGTGGACTGCATGGAGAGATAACCTTGCCCAAGAAATGTGGAACAATAAGGCAATTCATTGAGTCGGTGTCCTTTCGTTTAATGAAGACATTAGTGTGTATTTTTATATTATAATGTGTGTAATAACATTTGGAATGCTTCTTTTGTTTTTAAGTTAAGAAAGACATCACTGTTTGTGTAATGACATTTGGAATGGTTTATTTGTTTCTAAGTTAAGAAAGACATCAGTATTTGTAATCAAAATCATTTGGAATGCTTGTGTCTAATACTGTTTGTGTAATAACATTTGGAATGTTGTATTTGTTTCTAAGTTAAGAAAGGCATCCTATTTGTAATCGAAATCATTTGGAATGCTTATGATTTCTAATATTGTTATGTAGAATGTCGGCTGCTTCATCTGCGAAACGAGGAAGGGGACAACAGAAACATTATTGGACAACTACTGAGGATACAATATTGGTTGAATCATTGCTTGAGTTGCATAGTGACCCGACTTGGCGAGCTGACACTAGTTTCAAAAATGGTTATTTGGGGAAGATAGAAGGTATGATGGAAGCCAAACTCCAAGGGTGCGGATTAAAGGCGTCTCCCCACATAGAATCACGCATCAAGACGTTGAAGGAAAAATATTTTGCCTTAACTGAATTGCTAGCTCTCAGTGGGTTTGAGTGGAATGAAGAGAAAATGATGTTGGCTTGTGAGAAAAGTGTGTATGACGAGACTACGAAGGTATACATAAACATGCCCTTGCTAATTTAAGAGAGACGATCACTTATAGTGCATGCAAAAATCACCAATACTGATGAAAAACTTAAGTGAGGTGAAAACAAGCCAGAAAGTAAACTTCATAAAGATTTGCCAAAGCAGTTTTATAAACTGAGATATGATGTTAAAGCATAGGAAAACAAAATGCTACAATTAAAATATTAGAATGATCTTCGTGGTTGTTCATCAGAAATATTAAAAAATGACATAAAAATCATAATGATACTGTAACATCAACTGTAATCAGTGACATCTTTATCTTTCATGAATAAAACTTAGAAAGGGACAAAGAGAAAGTAACCGGGTTTGGATTCTCAAAAAATTTATAGACAGTGGAATAGGACAGACATAACCATCCCACCTGTACTTTTTTAGATTGGCTTAGCAAATGTATAAAAAGGTCAGTAGGCAAAGTTTACAACTGGTTTCCATGTACTAACCTTGACAGGAACCACAACTTCATATAGAAGTAGAGTATCTCTAGCAGCCCGATAGATCTCCAAAGCAACTGTGGGAGATGACACGTAAACATCCTACACATTCCAATCATAGTTGTGGCCTTAAAAGAATTAAGAAGCAAGAAAACTGAAACTTGATAAAAAATGCTTTAATCATGAAAACTAAGTTTTACACAAGGTTGCTTTTCTTATGTGACTTGTATTTTGTGTTTTTTGTTTGTAGGGTAAAAGGATGCAAGTGGATTGTATGATAAGCCTTTTCCACATTACCACAGTTTGGGATAGATTTATGCAAAAGATCGTGCTGTGGGTGAAAATGCTGGTAACGCTAATGACGATGAAGAAGAAGTTAGACTTGAAGATGCCAATGTCAATCAAAATGAAGGTGAGGATGAAAGTGGAAATGATTTTGATACTTCTTTCTCAGTACCAAATACTTAACAACAAAGGAATGCAGAAAGTAACACATCAAACAATAGTCGCAAGAGGGCAAAAGTAGGGGATGAAATGGCTAAGGAATTCTCTATTATGGCTAAAGCTATTGTTGATGTGGGACCTAAGCTTGATGGTCTAGTTCATGCACTGTCAACCGATAAAAATCCGACAGAAATGCAATAAAAACTTGACGGTGAGTTGAGCAAAATGGAGTTTTTGTCTCCCATGGAATTATTTCAAGTCACCAACTTCTTGGCCAAAGAACATGACCTTTTGAAGGTCTTTTTCAACATGTTTGATGAAAGGAAGAGTGCATATGTGACTACTTTGTTGCAGACTTGGATGCATAATGACGTCTAAGTGATGTTCCAAAGAATGTGATGCTAGTTTTTTGCTAATGCTATGACATGCTTGCTGCCATGATGACATATCAGGGAAAATTGTAAATGTTCACTACTACAAAAGGGCCTTATAGTGTCAGTAGGTGGCGTCGGTTTAATATAATATAGTGGTGGATAAGACAGTTGCGACACTAACTGAAGATGACGTCGGATTTACTGTCGCTTATAAGCGTCATAAAATGTTTACGTCGTTTTTAAACCGACGTAAACATTTAATGTTGCTTATAACCGACATATATTTTAATAATTTTAAATACTAGCGTCGCTTTAAACAAAACAATGTCGCTTTTAAGCGACACAAAGTATTGTTTTTAAATATTTTAAAGCCTGCGTCGGTTCTAAGCGACATAGATTTTAGTTTTTTTAAATATCTATGTCAAAATGATAGATTCACTAACACTTGGAATTTATTTATACTTTCATTAAATATAACATAAGATTTTGTGGTATCCACTAGTGTAAATATTTTAAATTGAAGATCGAATTCATTCATTGTATTTCCGTTACTTCATCTCTAAATGTTTCTTTGTTGCCATTTTTGGCGTATGTGACCTGGAAGCATATATAAACAAGTTTGATGGTTGGATCGTTGAAATTAGTTTTGTTTGTACCATACTTGACCAATCCCGAAACTACTAAGTATCGGTCAACGTTATACCGTCAAGGACCCAGAAGAGTTTCCCTCTAACAAGGATGCCAATCACAGCGCGACACGTGTCGACATCAGAAGTCAATTATAGCGCGACACATGTCAACATCAGAAGCCAATCACAACACGACACGTGTCAATGTCAAAATGAAACTAAAAACTCTCTTCTATAAATAAAGATCATTCTCTCACAATATTTCCTAATGTCATTTGTACTAAATCATTCACTAGTACTCACTAAATGAGAGCTTGAACCTATGTACTTGTGTAAACCCTTCATAATTAATGAGAACTCCTCTACTCCGTGGACGTAGCCAATCTGCGTGAACCACGTACATCTTATGTTTGCTTCCCTGTTTCTATCCATTTGCATACTTATCCACACTAGTGACCGGAGCAATCTAGCGAAGGTCACAAACTTGACATTTTCTGTTATACCAAAGTCTTCGCTGATTTTGTGCATCAACATTTGGCGCCGTCTGTGGGAACGACACTTATTCCCACTCTCTTCAACTTTGCCAAGATGGTTTCCACCATTTGTACACTCTCTTTTGACCAGGTATCCCTTTCCAACATGGGGAGCGAAGGAAGCCACAACACACATAATGACACCCCTCTTGCACCTAGTGCGAAGCAACGAAAGAAGGAAGGAAATAGGGTTGTTCTTCAAGCTAAAGTCGATGAGCTAGAAGCTCAGAACAACAAGATAGCAATGAAGAATAAGGTCCTCCATGAGCAGTACGAAAAGTTCTTTGAGACGCTCCACGAAACTAGGCGTACTCAAACACACGAGCTCGTTGCCCTTGTGGACATCAACCATCATCTGGGTGCCCCCCAACACGGAGGGTCACCTTCCTTCGACATGGGTATCCCTGATGAGGAACGAGCTAATCATCAAAACATTGATCAACATGAGACTTCTCTCAACCCAGATGTTTCGAGCCGAAGTAGAAGAAGTGGAGGAAGACACCTCCTTGCAAAAGGGTTGGAAGGATCGAAAACCGTTTATCGTGACTGCCGAGACTTCTTAAAGCAATGTCGAGAGAATCCCCTCCACATATGCTCGAAGATCAATGACCCAAGGGTTTCTGAAAGACTCGGTCCCCTCCCACGACCCAGGCCAGCTGCCAATCTAGGGAAGGAACGACATATCCTAGAGGAACATAAAAGTACGGGGGACTTTGAGGTATTCCGACAGACTCGCCCTAGAAGTTAGTACAGCGAGCCCAAGAAAAAACAACACGCCCATGCTCAAATTTTCCTACTTCCAAGAGGCGATGGAGACTTACGAAAGAAAATTCCAGTGGTACATAACTCTACTAATGACCCCTTTGTCTTACAGCTCATTGAGGAAGTAAACAAGTTGAAGGCCGAACATCAGGCGGAGATACCTGATTGGAACCAAACCAGGCTTGGCCCTCTCACAAGAAAGATCCTCGACACCCCTTTCAAGTGAAGACAAAACAAAAGCTTGGTTTACAACTCTATACTGGAAGGGAAGACCCAATTGAACACCTTAACCTCTTTGAGTCCACCATGGCATATCAGATGCACACCGATGAAGAGCGATGTCTTCTCTTCCCCTCCACCCTCTCTGGTGGAGCTCTAAACTGGTATTGCTGTCTTCCACCTGAGACAATAGACTCATTTGAGGAATTGAGGAAACTATTTGTCTCTCAACACATCTTCCAGACTGATTACTTGCATTCTGAAGATGACTTGTACATTATTCGCTAGAAGCTGGACGAGTCACTACGAGAGTATGCCGGTCGCTTCAGCCATGAGTATTCTCGCTGCGTTGAGGCAGATGATAAGACCGCCCTCAAGGCATTCACGACAGGCCTACGTGATTGTTTCTTCAAGTACATGATCAATGCCAACACTTGGAAGACTTACTCTGAGGTGATGGCACATGCTTACAACCACGCCTCCGCCGAAGCAAAGACATACCAAGGGAACCCCCATATGGTTAACCCCTATCAACAAATGGGAAATGGAAGTCAAGTTCTACCAAGTGATGAGATATTGGCCATTCAGACACCCATTGCATCATCTCTTGCCTCATTTAGCTACTCGTTAAGTCACCAAACGTATATGTCTCTTGGTAAGAGGAATGATTTTTACTCTCAGCAAGCCCATTACAACAAGAGGGATAAAAGTTCGTATCAAGACAACCAGAGGTGAACGTACCGTCGACTATTATGACTATGGGGCCAAGCCTCACTCTTTCAAAGTGGAGGACTAGGAACTGAAGGAAATGCTATTATAAGAAGGCATACACATTACAAATGTTTTGACCCTCAACCGCTTGAGATCTTTTGTCACACAAGCCATTCGGCAAATATTTAAAGAATAAGGAATTCAGACAACTTATTCTGAGTTTATTGCTTTCCTAGCACTGTTCCGACTCAGAGTTTCAACATGCGTACTTTGACACAAAGTATGTGATACTAAGTGTTACAACCAACATGGTTCACATATCAAAAGCATGGATCCCTTCATGCATAGCAAAACATTCATAAGTATCACTCATATCAATCAACATAAACATTATACATTCCAACACATTCATACATAAACATTATACATTCTAACACATTCATACATAAACATCATACATTCCAACACATCCATACATAAGCCAACTGTTCTTCGAAAGGGTTCAACATACTTTGTGTCTTCGACACTTGCTACAATGTGCCTCGACACCTTACCCTTATTCTCACCAACCAGATGATGAAATGTGAAAAATGAACTCATCTTCATGCCACCAACCAGGTGATGAAATGTACAACCCGTACTCATCTTCATGCCACAAACCAGGTGATGAAATGTACAACCCGTACTCTAATATCATTTGGCAACTTGCCACTTATGCCACCAACCAGGTGAAGAAGGAACTCATCTTCATGCCACCAACCAGGTGATGAAATGTACAACCTGTACTCTCCTTCATGCCACCAACCAGGTGATGAAATGTACAACCCGTACTGTAATATCATTTGGCAACTTGCCACTCATGCCACCAACCAGGTGAAGAATGAACTCATTTTCATGCCACAAACCAGGTGATGAAATGTATAACCCGCACTCTCCTTCATGCCACCAACCAAGTGATGAAATGTACAACCAGTACTCTAATATCATTTGGCAACTTGCCATTCCTGCCACCAACCAGGTGAAGAAGGAACTCATCTTCATGCCACCAACCAGGTGATGAAATGTATAACCCGTACTCTAATATCATTTGGCAACTTGCCATTCATGCCACCAACCAGGTGAAGAAGGAACTCATCATCGTGCCACTAACCAGGTGATGAAATATGATGAAAGGTGATGAAGGAACTTACCTTCGTACCACCAACCAAGTGATGAAATCAACTCACCATTCATTCTACCTACCAGAAGACGAGTGGTACAACTTGTACATATGAACTCCTAGCATTCACAAATAATCAAAAACCCTCAACAACAACTTCAGTGCATGGCATACAAATATCAAACTATTCAGCCCTCTTGCATCTGCTTCAGACATTTCCCCTCTGTAACAATACAAACACTACAACTCGTAAAGACAGTGTGAAGCAAAGCTAATTTATGGTGCCAACAAGAGCTTCATCAATGGAAGGCAACCACAATTCTCAAAAGCTTCACACACTCTTGATCAAGACAGTGTAAAGCAAAACCAATTTATGGTGCCAACAAGAGCTTCATCAATGAAGGGCAACCACAAATTCTCAAAAGCTTCACACTATCTTGATCAAGATAGTGTGAAGCAAAATCAATTCATGGTACCTAACAAAGCTTCATCAATGGAGGACAACTACAAATTCTCAAAAGCTTCACACTATCTTGATCAAGATAGTGTGAAGCAAAATCAATTCATGGTACCCAACAAAAGCTTCAAATCCAAAGCTTCACCTACAAAACTTCAACTCCAAAGCTTCACCAACAAAAGCTTCATCAATGGAGGACAACTAGAAATTCTCAAAAGCTTCACACTATCTTGATCAAGATAGTGTGAAGCAAAATCAATTCATGGTACCTAAGAAAAGCTTCAACTCCAAATCTTCACCTACAAAGCTTCAACTCCAAAGCTTCACCTACAAAAGCTTCACTAACAAAAGCTTCAT